TATAATAAATTCAAAAAGTGAAAATAATTGTTCTATATTTCTTAATATCACCGATAACGCGGAGGAGAAAAAATTAAAAGAAATTTCGCGTATAAATATCTCCGCTGCACACGTACGTGTAGCTCTTGCAGTCTTAACGAGCACAACTGCGGAACAATATCGCTCGCTCGAGTTCGCGCACTACTAAGCTGCATTTCGCCTCGAGTAGCTGGAATTTTTGCCGATGCCGGGCAAATCCGATCCGATTGGAATGTCAAGAAGCCCGTGTCGAGACTTTAGCATCGTCGGTATTACTACTCTAGAGTTGGCAAAAAAATGTTCGTAGCACCGCGACACAGGGCTGGTCGGCCGGTCGGCCGACCGACCGGGCGAGCGAGCGAGCGACTGGGGCGAATATTTAGGGGGAATGCATATTCAAGATCGTAACGATGCAATTTCGATGGCGCATACATAATGAGAGTCTCGAGAGCGGCGCGCCGCTTGCCCGGTTAATATCAACCTTTCTGCACAATGGTCCTATCACGAGGGAGACTTGGAAAGAAATTTCGACGTAACCGATGGCGGTGCATTGTCATACCTCGAGCTCCGCTCAACAAAGACCGCCTGTGCAACCAGCCAGCGCTGCTGGTGCTGTTGCTGCTGTAGCACGCCGAGGAGGGAACGAACGAAAGTGCGGTATTGACGTCGAAAAAGGAAGAACAACGACATAATCTCGAATCATCATGCGAGATGAGAGCTCCGGCCGCGGCGAAGAGAGCCGGCCTCGAGAAACGTGATTTTACCTACTCGTTAATCGCTGAACGTTCCGCGCTTCCGGTAAATCATCCCCCCCTCCTCCGCGCGCGTTTCTTCGCATTTCGATTGGGGTTGAACGCTAAATCGTTCGATATCACCGCTATCCGCGAGGCACAAAGACCACCGGGAAACAATAACAGCGGCGATGCATTGAAAGTTACTCAATTGCGGAGCGCATGTTACAACGTTGCTGCAGTTTAACGCGGAATGCAATCGGTAACAGATGTAATATGTCTATTATGACAGAAATGATCCGTAAAATAGAATTCACATTGCATAAATACTAAGCTACTTTATAATGACATTTATCATTTATCATTTATCATAGCGCTATTTTTTCATAAATATTTTTCCGTTCGATTATGTGCATCGAAACATTTTTCTTCCGAAGCAAAAGTAAGAAACTACTGTATCGTCACAACAAATTCTTCCCTCTCTCTTTTCTTTGTTTCCTTTTATTTACATTTTTCGCTTCCTTTCTTAATTCTTTCTTTACTCCTTTCTTATCGCGGACTGCCACAGGCATCGCTTCGAGCTCCGATGAAAATACGCCGCGCTGTCCTCACCGTCAATTAGCGCGATCGCGTTCCGGAGATGACGACGGGAATTTCGGTGTCCTTACGACGGACTCGGTTCGCACCTCGAAGGAGCGCCATATTACGGTTAAATAATCTCTTTTATCGTGTCCCGATTAATTTAAAAATATGCACGCGTTAACGACGCGTACGGTATATAGCGAGCAACGGCACGCATTACGTGCGCGAATAGGTGCAAGAAAGAGGAAAGGAAAAAGCGAGAAGACCGGCGAGCTCGCGAGATCCTGCGAAGGACATCCCGCGCGCTGGGTCCCCACGCGTGTTGTAACCCCCCCCCCCCCGCAACCGACGCCGACGGAGGAGGAAGACGCGGATGGGGAACGTGGTCGGGGTACGCGCGTGAAGTCAGCTTTACGACAATATAATTTTGGTAGCGACACACGGACGGCGTGTGGAATGCAACGATCGGAGTCAACGAACGGCGTATAGAAGTCTTCGATACGTCGTAAATGGCCCCATCCTTCCCCTGATCCTCCGCTGCGCCCCTACTCGTACACGGGTTCCTTTCGCGGCGAAGAGCTCTACAGGGTGTTTCGTGAATATTGCGATTTCGCATCTCGCGAAATTACGTCCTTCGAGAACGGTTTGCCGTGAAGTTTTTATCAGGATTTTCATCGCATGTCATTACAAAGTTACAGTTAAAAAGCTACGATTCTAAGTAATTTAAGAATGTGGACAATCAATTTCAAATGAGCTTTGTCTCCACAGAATTTTATTTCGGAATTTAAAAAATTTTTGTGTGAAAAATTGAAAATTTGCAAAGGTAGCATTTGGCGAAATTTTTAGTGCGGAAGAATTATCTTCAAATTCGCAGAACAAGCTCCGGAAATTTGGCGCAAATTCAACAAACACCCTGTGCATCGTCACACGTGCAATGTCTAACTATCTACGTCTCGTTCGGTCAACGAAAAATAAATTGGCGAATCCCGAAAACACTGACGACGCGGTCGGTCTTGTCGCCGGTGAAACAAAGCCCGATAACTCTCTCCGTTATATGGCTGATAGAAGTCAAGCCGGCCGGAGGTCGAGGTGACCGTGATGGCCGTCTTCGAGATACAACCATAAATTTCGACACCGAATATTCCCCGAGAATATCTTCGGCTGCATAGGTCGGATCAATAACCGCATAAAGTGCGGGAAGAAAGAGCGCAACGGCACGTTTCGCAGTATTCAGTCTCAGAGCGTGAACGTGTGTGGACTGCGAAGGGGCTACGGATCGGGGTAAAATAGAGCTTACGATCACGTTGCTGTGTTTTTCCTCGAGCACCGCGCGCGAAACTATCCTTGCGCGCTTTTTTGTTCCTCTCCAACTTCGCGCTGTGCACGGATGCATTTGTTCGAAATGCATGGAATGCTTGCTAGATACTTCCGTGATATGTATGTAACTGGGTCACACAGAGAGAGATGATGATATTAGAAAAGAGTTCACTTACATTATTTGCTTATATCGATCGAATGCAGAACTTGTCGCACGACACAAATGTAAAAAAAGAATTCCGAAAAATTGTAATATATTCTTGACAATTTTTTTTAAATCTGTAATCGTAAATTTTCGTCGTATTCTCCTTCGCAAGGATAAAAAAAATTGCAAGCAATATTTCACAGATTTACCATATATTGTTAAAAACTGTTATCAACGTTTTGAAAACAGAACTCACAAGAATTATCACTACTGAACTTTCTTATAAACGCCGAGCGCTTTAAAAGCAAAGAAGCGACTGCTCTTGCCTAGATAAGGTGCCGAATGATAAACCGATGCAACGCCCGTCGCCGAAACGAGAAGGGTAAAACCGTAAAAAGACGGAGCGAAAGAATCGTCCCATAAAGTATTGTTTTACTTTCGGTGCGTTTCCCGATAAAATCGCGGCCAACTCGTCGGCGGGTCTCGTTTGAAACCAAGAAGAAACTGATGGCCCGTAAAGAGCGCGCCGCGAATGGTCCATCCCGACCGTCCCGATTATATCGGGTGAGTCGGTGCTCGCCCTAAGCTTTACCAAAGGCTGCTTCGGACGGGGAAAGAAAAAGGGGGAGAGAGAGAGAGAAAACCTATTGTTGTGCTTAATTTAGCGTTAAATTGTTTACATCTCATTAATCGCGTGGGACAGCGATGGTGGGACCTGCTGCAGCGAGACCGTCATGATCATCGATGCACGTCACTCGTGGGCCGTGCATTCCCCCATCAGGAACCCCACCTGCTTCTCAATTTCGAATCGACCGCTACATCTCCGGTTCACGCACAGTCGAAACGAGAGCATCTCTCGCGCGCGTCTCTCGTTTCAGGGCGAACCGCATCCGCTTATGCTATGGTACCACACACTCAAGCCGAACGGACCTCTCTTCGCGTACACATCCCATCTCACGTCGATGCAACGACTTTGGACCGATACTCAAAGCAGTTTCCAGTCGCACGACTGATTCGTCGAGTTTGCAACGCGGTAGCGGCAGTTAAGCCGTATTACAGCGCGGGGGTGATATCGGCTAGTTTCGATTGCGCATCGAGTATCGCAAAGGACCGTTAAGAAGATAGTCGGATTTCCATCATGAATATTACGTTAATGTCCTTAGCATTCGCGTGCAGATAGAGTTGACATATAATATAAAACATTTTTCATCGAGTAACATAAACGTATAGATGTAAAAAAAATAGCGAATGTGTTTAAAAAATTGCAGAAAAAAATATTTTTCTCGTTGCAAAACGCAGAAAGAAATGTATTAATATTCTTAAAATTAATAAAGTATTAGAATAAACTATTTTATGAAAATAAATAAAAATAATTTGTAAAAACTATATTACGTTCAATATTACACAAGTCAAATTTTGATTTTATGTATACACACGTTAGAAAATGTAAAATATAAAATTTGATTAATATCGTAGATCCAGCGATAAAAAAACGTCTATCATCTGTGTGTACGCTGATAAAAACATCTCGTAAAATTAAAATACCTGACGACGATTTATTTGCCGATATAAAACGGAAAAATGCTCGTTTACTGGCGATAAAATATTTTTAACGGCGTGATTTTTCTGTCGCCGTTTTAGTAAGCTCGTAAGAATTTACGGGCTATGATCATAGTATAATTTCACATAATAAGAACTCTGGTACTCGATCGGTCGACGGATACGACGACTATCTACACGGAATCTCATGCTATCGGCTTTCAATAAGGTTGATAAAGTCAACTATAGGAAGACGCGAGGGACGAGAGTATCAAACGCCTAACGGAGATGCAACTCGCGAATAATTCACTCATTATCTGCATCATCTCCCCCCTACTTCAACAATTTCCAAAGAACGTTGGAAGACTAGCATGTGCGCGCTTTAGCAAATACGGCGAATCTACCTTCATAGGATCAGATATTTTTCGATCCACACGATATCGTTAATTAAATATCCCATAAATAATAAATAATTAACTCATTAATATTTTCATTACATTAACGTAATATTCACGATGGAAATTCGACTATCTCCTTTACGTGCCTATTGGAATCCCTAATTTATTAGGCTAACGCGCTAGCCCCACGCCACTTAAGGCGTTATAAAAATATATACTAATTCGCAATTGTCGAAATCAACATTTGATTTATATAACAAATGGACTCACCGGTTAGATGACTTCCGGTAAACTCGAAATCGTCGTCCTGATCCCAGTGCTTCAAGCTCAAGTTTGACAACGATGTTGCATTGGCAAACTCCAAGTTTGCAAAATGCCAATCTAATATCTGTCGATCCTTGGAGGATAGATACACGTCACTGTATTCAATAACAAAAATTTATATGAATTAGTACGCAATGCTTTTATAATTCAATTTATAAAGTAGATATACATACCTAGGTGGCGATGCTTCCAATTCTTGTAACTTTGCTTCAATTTCTTTCTGCTGATCTGATAGCTGATCCCATTCCTAAAATGTAAAATAAATAAATATATTATATTTTCATTATTTTGTCAAAAAAATGATCTTCTATTAAACTACGTACCTTGCAAGCATTGTGAAGATCACGCAATTTAGATCGAAGTACAAATTCTTGCGTTATATCTCGAGTTTGCAATTTACTTTCTGTCATTTCCTTGTATTGTTTATTTAATTCCATCAAACGATCCATAATTGAGATCATCTGCAACAAAAATTAATAATGGTCAATCGTAAAATCTTATCAAATTGAAAATATTTCACTAAGAAATAATTTTTAATTGCACATACTCTATGTTGATTAGTAACTAATCGTCCTTGTAAAGAGAGCACAGAACGCAAATGTGCTACTTGACGCTGCTTTACACCTTGTTCTTGTAAACGTATCACCCATTCTAGCGCTTGTCCCAAGGACACAGGACGTGTATTACCACCTTGTCCTCCAGATCCTGCGCTATTTACATAATTAAAATCTAATTGATGCGAAAGGTAAGAAGTAGCTTCCAGTAATCTATTAAATTCTCTTTCAACCATTTCATCTTTATCTTTTGGAACCTGCAAATAATATAAAACATATTTTTATCCTTTAATTGTTCAAAATTACGATAATAAATTTTGTAATACACAGTAATAAAGATTTTAAGTATATTTAATTAATTGTATAAAATATTTACCAAACATACCGTTTGACCATCGCTTTCGTACAATGGACACTTTTGTCGTATTTTATGAAGTTCCATATTAATTTGTTTACTAAGAGTTGTTACAGGATTCCCGCCCAAACCTGTGACCACCATAGCTCCTAAATCCGCAATATAATTTGATTTGCGAAATGTGGCGATTCGCCCACCAACACGATCCTAAGCACAAATTAATGACAGTTTAATAAAAGAAAGTTTACATAAGTTAAAATAAGATAATTATTAAAAACTTACTCTAGCTTCCAATACAATTACTTCTAATCCAAACTGTTGCATTTGCTGAGCTGCTGCCAATCCAGCAATACCAGCTCCAATTACAACAACTTTACCTAATTTTTTAGTCGGTAGAGACTGCAACCAACAAATATTGATTATTTTTTAAATGGCACACACACACAAATAATATCTGTGTATAAAATATAATAAAAATTCCAATATTAATAAAATATAAAATATGATTAATATTAAAAATAATTTAATTAACCATATTAAAAACATCAAAACTTTTCATATAAATAGCATTAAATTACCTTAAGACGTTTAAAGACTCCAAAGTTTATAAAACCATGCCGCTCTAAAAAGGCATGAATCCTACGAGTAAGTCCTGTATCGCTATTATAAGGTGGCTCAATTTGTGGTAATGCATTTTCAATAATTAATTGTTGTTTTGGATTTTCCAACCAAATTTGCAACTAAAAGTTAATCACATTAAAAAAAAGAAACAATGTAATAACACAATTTATAATCTAAATACTCACAAGTCTATTTCTAATGTGTAAAAACACTTTTTGTGTTTGTGGTGGTCCACTGGAGACATCAGGGAAACAAGCTGCTTCGGTAGATGTCATTTTATCAAATGGAAGACGACTTTGAAAGGCTGCACCTTCCAATCCATTCAATAATTCCTTTACTAAATATAAACACAAAATTAATACTGTTGTCCATATTAACAAATTTAAGTAATTCATCGGTCAATTCAATTAATCAAATACCATGTGGGTCTTCGTGATCGCTATCTTGATCATCTTCTTCTTTGACTTCAGTTTTCGAAGCAGAAGGTGTAGGAGCAGACACTGTAGATTCAGTTTCTTTCTTCACCTCTGTGGAAACTTTTTTCTCCGGAGTTACAAGTCCAGTTTTAGACTTTTCTGATGTATCTGAGGTATTCTCATCTTCTAACTGATTATATTTTTCCTCCATTTCCCTGTACTCCACCTATAATGATCAAATACCTCAATATATAATACAAATCTCATATAAACAGAAAACTTGTTTGAAAATAACATTACCATATATTAAACACCATTAATGTCTTATATTTTCAGTTTAAAATTATCCAACTACTTGCTTAATCAGCCAACAAGTTATATGAATAACGATCGATTTTTTAATGTTTAGTCATTATGCACCTATATTCAGATATGTATTCGACCCGAAAATATCTACATATACGATCGGAAGTGAAAGATATTAATGACGCCAACCGTTAAAACCAAAATATAGCCTCACTTTTCACTTGCAATGTGAAAAATAAAATTTCTATACATAACTTCAAAATATTAAAAAAAAATTAATATATTTTTTTTTTATTATCGCATAAAAATGAAACGCAAACTAAACAACATAGTTTTAACGTTACAACAATTGATGTTTCGTACTTAACCACAAACGTCGAAGGAAACATTATCATGCATTTAAACAATACGCTATATGTATATATAAAACATTTACCTTTGCTCTCTTCCTGCGACTCATGTCGTTTCGATGATTTAAACGTAATAACTTGATTATTTGTTATTGATTAAAGGCAATAACCGTGATGCAAAAGGCTCAGGTTTGTTTTGATGCTTGAAACAGCCGGCACATATAAACGCAAGATCGGCAACCATGGGTAATGTGAAAATGTAGCTGCTTTTAGAGCCCTCTGGTAATCAGTCATTGTACTTCAGGGAAATTGTCCGATTCGCTGCGCTAAAGGTAATCAAAAGATATAAACAGATATAAATGTTCCACTCGTCATATCAATGATCATATCTCCTTGTAAGTTCTTTGAAAGTCGTATCAACGATCATATCTCCTTATGTGTTCGAGGATTACCGTGTTCATTTTTTGCTATACTATTACTTTCGTTAATATTTTTAAATATTTACTATTGTATTATAACATATAAAGTTTAAATCCGTCTTCCACATTAATAATGGCTGAAATAATTATACGAAAAGCTAGACGAGAAGATTGTAAAGCTATTAAAACACTTATACAGGTAAATTTTGTCGATAATGGATCAATACAGTGGATTTTATATAAAAATATTTTTTATAGGAATTGGCAGACTATGAGAAGATGCCAGATGGACCAACACTTGATCAAGAGAGTGAGGTTTATGTACAATATTATATCATAAATTACTTAAAGGCAATAATATCTAATGATACAAATCTTTAGCTTTAGAAAGAGATGGCTTTGATGGACAGCCATTATTTTTTTGCAATGTGGCAACATCAAATGAAAAACTTATTGGTTATGCTATTTTTTATTACTCTTATTCTACATGGTGTGGAAAAATTATGCATTTGGAAGATCTCTATGTGACAAAAGAGTTTCGAGGAAAAGGTGTTGGTGATAAACTTCTGAAATCTGTTGCAAAAGTATGTTTACTCAGAATTATATATGCCACACATATATCTAATTAAAATATAAATATATATAAAATCTTTACAGGAATCAGTTGACACCAATTGTAACCAATTGGATTTTGTGGTTCTCAACTGGAACCCAGCACAAGAGTTTTATAAAAAACATGGAGCTAAAGATTTGACATCTATAGAAAAATGGCATTATTGTCGTATCTCTAATGCAGAATTGATGAAATTGGCATCTTAATGTGAATAGCATAAACCAAAATATCCATACTAATTGATAGTATTACTTTGTATTTATATACAATATATATTTTTTATTTATAACATTTTATTTTTTGTAAAATAAAATTTGGAAATAAATTTCTTATATGAATGTTAAATGTTATGCTATTTATTAAAATATTGTTACAGCATATATGACACACAAGTCTAACAATATAATTTTTCTAATAAAAGTGAAACAGTGTAGGCAACTTTTAGATTTAACTTCTCTCATTCTAGGGTGACTCAGAAACATTTCACTATTTAGAAGCACATAAATTATCAACAGCTGAGATTGTCATAATAAACAAAAACAATGATGCTAAAGGTATGCTATTATTTTATTGTTATATTTATTCTATCTATTATCTGTTATATGATCTTTTATATACTTTATTTTTGCATATATTTTATTATGGAAAACTAACCTAAATCATGTTTTTTTATTTTTATATCAATGAAAAATTGTAACAAGATGACACAAACATAAACTTATTTTCTCTTTGATTACTTGCTTATCATATATTATGAATGTTATAGATATTAAAGGGATTGCTCACCATCACAAATCATTGTCAAAAGATGCCTAACAGAGGATTCTTTTATTGGTTAACTATAATATTTAACAGGTATTTAATACAATTTTTATACATATCTTATATAGCTTGTAACTTGTTTATATGTAATTTTCAAGGTAATAATTATTTTGAGGGTTGACCAAGAAAGAATTCAATCAGTTGGTCCAGATCGTGCATGTGCCGAATGGCTATTGAGAAATGGTGCTAGTGTTAGATGGAAAGGTTTTTCAAAACATTTGTCAGATTACAATAGTTTACCATCTGACGAAACTCGTTATTATATTCAAGCTATAGATGCTACAGATTCTGGAATAACTCACGTTGGATTTCCATATTTTGGTTAGTATAGTAAACTTAATAAGTTATTTTGTAACATTATTTGCAAAGAATAATCTTTGGTAATATAAATATACTTGATAATATAATTTAAAACGGATTTAAAACAGATATTAGTCTAGAATTTTTATTAAATAGAACAGATAGATTGGTATAGCCAAATATATGTTTGATACTAAAAGATAGTAACTAGAGATAATAAGAGACTAGAAATAATTATTGTTCAAAAGTAACATATATATTATAAATAAATTTTCACATTAAAGAATAATTGTATCATTGTGTAATATTCATAAAAGGTTTATGCAGTATTGTTACTTACAGAAATTCAGTTGGTTGCAGGTATATTGATGAGATAAAACTGATACGCTGTTTTTACTTATATAATGGTGCTCTGCCATTATTGTCAGCAGTGAAAGATACTTTAACCACCCTTGAAATCAAAGATTGTAAGAGTATTACTGACAATGGAGTGCGTAGTTTGAAAAAATTGACGTATGTACATTTATATTAGCTACAAAACATTATGTGCGATATTAAAGATTATTATTTTTTATAATTATACATACAATTGAGATACTGTCATTTTTTGTATTTTGACTAGAAATCTGAAGACTTTAAAGCTCGGTGGTATGCCATACTTGGAAGATAAAAATTTACTTAGGAAAGAACTTGCAGAAGCTCTGCCAGATTGTAAAATAGAATTTAATTAAATTACGTAAAACAATAATTCATTTTAATAGTATTTATAAAAAGTAACAAAAATAGTATTTAAACTTAATCTAACCTAACCTAATCTAACAACACTAATAAAATCATTTGCAATAAAATCGTTTATACGTCTATAAAATATTTAAAGATTGTTAAGTATATACACATATATATATATATGTAAAAAATAAAAATATGAAGAAATAATATACTACTTTCATTTTTTTTCGATATTACTTACAATATCAAATGTTTTTTACATAAAAAAACTCCGCAATGAAAAGGATCTACAATGTATAAAATATTAAATGTGATCATACATTATTCTTTATATGGGAAAAATATAAAAAATACATTAAGGTGCCTTTTCACGCTAAAATTGAGTGTCAAGCATCAACATGAAAAGGCATCTTCATAGTTGCAAATATAAGGTGGCAGCACTGCCATGAATTATGTCTGAAATTAGTAGCGCGATTTTCAAGACTTTCCGCCGTTATTTACCGCCATTACCGCCGTTCTGTGTTGAACGTGTTGAACGCTTCGTGCTTCGTGTATCCGGGCGTTATTTCTTTGTCTTAATTTAAATATAAAATACACATTGGGAGTGCCGTACAAAGTATCGCGCAATCATGATGATTCCATAAAGTCTGCTCCGGGCGTGTAGTGTCGCGCGATTTTCGTGATGTGATAAGATGCGCATCGGGAGTGCCGAGATCGCGCGATCCTAATGATACGATAAAATACGACGGAAATGTATGCAATGTCGGGAGTGTTTAAAGTGTTGAGTGTCATTGTATTTCGATAATTAGTGTGCATAAGATCGTAATCCTGTTTTTTTCGAGTTTTATCCAAAGGCGATATATCAGGATCAAAAGTGCTGGTGAAAGTCCGGGGCGTGGAGGGGCAACAGTGGAGCAACAGTGGAGCAACAAGTGAGGTTAATAATTTATTATTTATTATTCATTATTTGTGCGGAATATATTAATCGTTTATTAAAGTATTCAATAAAAAATATATTTACAGTATTTAATATTTATAATTATTTCTAATAATTTGATACAAATTAAGTTTTTGATTAAATAATTTGATTAAATAATTTATTCGTAAAATAATTATTTATGAAAGAATTTTGATGTTGTTATAATTGAAATTTGTTTGTAATTTACAGATCAACGTTGGAATTCCAACTCCACTGTTGCACATTGTAATATGGTGAGTACATTATTTTAATCTTGAAGAAATTGAGGATATAATAGAAGAAAATAATAACTAAATGTAGCAGGATCTATAGGTCTGTTCTTTATAGTTGAACTGGCTGTACTAGTTCAGAGTACTAGTTTATCTTTTTCCCTCCACATTGGAAGGAGAAAGATAAACTCTGAACTAGTGCAGTCAGTTCAGCTGTAAAGAACAGATCTTATATAAATGCTAACATTTTTGAAACTTGTGAATTGGATGTGTGATTCTCTTTACTTTTAACTTTTTTATATAATTGATATATGATGCTTATTTTTTATAACTTTTTTAATAACAGATTTAATAACAGATAAATCAATAGGAACTTACATTAATTTGATTAAATAAATGTATTAATTAATCATCTTTCTGAAAAGTAACATTTTATTACAGAATTTAATACATAAAAAATTCAAAAAAATATTTGTCAAATTTTTTTCTACTAGTTCAATTAAATGTATAAATATTATTTATCTACTTTTCATTGCCTATATACATACACATATATATCTGATTGAATTTTTGTAGTAACTAAATAATATTTTAATTTAATGTTTGTTATATTCAAAAAGTGAGAAATGATATAGTATCATACCACACAGACAAAATGTTTTTTTTTTTCTAAATTCTAAATTGCTTAAGCCTCCTGGTTTTTTGCCCCAGTCATATTGAATTATGATTCATGAATTATGATTCAAAAAATGTGCACTTAATGTCAAATTCAATTTTGCACTTAGTGTCAAATTCAATTTTTTCACCAGTCACGTTTGATAGTATAAAATCAATAAAATATATCAAAGAATCTTAGTTTGTAGAAATTAAATTAAAGCTATAAATTTGTATCAACTATTATAAGACTCAAGTTTGGCTGGAAATATGTAGGATACATACAGATATACATGCATTTATTAATGTAAGATAATCAAAAAAAAGTTTTCATATATTTTATTTGATTTATATTATTTAATTTATACTATCAAAGGCGAAAACAGTGGCACATGAAAAAATTAATTTATTACATCAAAAATTTGTATGATATCTCGCTTTTGTCATAATTCAATATAATATTGTAATGGAGAAAGAATTTCTTTTAGATACATTGTTTTCTTTTGTTACATTTCTTAAGGAAATAGATGAATAACAGTTTATAGTATGTAATGTGCAGAATTTTTTAGGAAAGATAGAATGCTGATTGAAAGATTGTGTTGTTGCTATACATAATCTCAAATTCCTATATAACATACAATATGATACAATATTTAATATCTTAAATATTAAATTAATAAATTGTTATATAATTATATTAACAAAAGTGGAATTTATGATAAGAATATAAATAATGAAAAGGAAACTTATTATTACTACGTTCTAAACAGCAATATATAGACTGCTTATGTTTCTACAGCATATTCAGTTAAAATATAGTATATTATTCTTATCTCTATTTTTTAATAACTATATTAGTGTACATCAGCATTCTATTTTTCCTAACATATATTTTACATTATTAATCCGCTACTAAAACAGCTGTGCATTTGCTAAAGTAATGTGAAGTGTTGACGACGAACATTATATTTATCGTGAAATTAAAATAGTTTAAATCCCAAGTAAAAATTTTATAATTATAATAATATTTACAGTTTTTTATAATTGCCTTGAAAGTCCAACTAAAGTTTAGATTACACTGTGCGACACGAATTTTGGCACTTGAGCAATGAAAATGGATTTCGATAGGTTTTTCCCGTAGAATTCGGATCCGAAAAGATAATTAACGAATTGGCTCTAGTTTTTGCAAAAAACGGTGTCAAATGTGCAAAAAAACGTGTTTTGGCCATTTTTGAGTACCTGTAGAAAATAACGCGAGCTAATAGAACCTTCTAAGTGGGATGAAATTAAAGCTTGAACCTTGGCCTTTTAAACTAAAAAAGAAAAAATCAGGTATCATAACCTTGGGGTACTCGGGAAGAGAAAAGGTATCAGGGCAAATCTACGGTGAATATGCTAGCCGATTATTGTTGGATGCTCATTCGTGATTCTTCTCAAACTACCTATAAAACGGAAAGCACAACGATCCGTAGAAAATACAGGGGAATCACATTCCAAAAAGCACATAGAGAAAAACGTTTCTTTG